CATGAGGCCAAAGTAAGATCAGAGTAGTGCTAAAATTATACTTAAGTTTCTAAAGCCCACAATGTATAAAATACTATCACACCAGATTCCAATACTTTTAAATTAAAAGGTGGTATGATGGTTGGACTTGGGAAAAATAGCATTCATTGACTACGATTGTATGTCAGGCCTTGCTTACAGGCTTTCATAGGGGATCTCAGTGCGTCTGCACAATTAATCCAGCCCAGTAAAATTACCGTCCTCATTTCACAAATGCAGAGACTAGGGCATGGAAAAGTCAAGCAACATGTTCTGGGCCACAAAGCAATATGAAGAGAATTCAGGATTTGAATCTGCCTGCCTGTTTACAAAACATACTTTCTTTCCATTCCTTTAGTTTATGATAGAAGAATTTCTGCCTTACAACTCTTGACCTCTTATTTCCCCCTCTGTTTCAAAATCCAACATTGGAATTCTTCATTCCTATGCATGCTGGTTTTATACTTTTGTCTCATAAAAATGCTTACACAATGTGAACAGAAGTGTCTGTTTCTTAAACATTTATTTAGTGTTATTCTTAGTTCTTTACATGAGTCAAATCACTTAGTCTTCATGACAACCCCATGGGGTAGATACCAGTGCTATCCCCAGTTTTACAGATGAGGAACAGACACTATGGCAGAAACAGGTTAACTCATTTCCCCCAGGTCTCACATCTAGTGATGAAGGAGCTGAGGTTCAGCCCAAGCCTCAACCACTGGCTCCAAGGCCTTTTGTCATCGTTACACTTCCACACTGAGTGCATAGTGGCAGGCAGCTACTGTATTTACCAAGCTCACACATTGCTGCCCTAGTCAAATCTTTATCTTGAGGGATTTCATCAGCTGACAGAATGAAATATAATTGTACCTTATTTTTTAATGTAGCTCTATCTCCTAGTGATGTCTGCTCTGCATCAACTCTTTTAATTGCTCTCAGAACATCTAATCTAGAGACTCAGGCACCACATAAAATACAATGATGAACATCAAAATGCTGGTTTTGGACACCATCCAAATTCCAACTTCCTTCTGCCCTCTTCAAACTGCCTCATGCATTGGCTTCATTCACTCCCTGATATATTTGCCTTTGCACCTTGGTTCCTCCTTCTCACCTCACCTCACTTGCCATTAGCGCCGTTCCTTCACTCTGCTTTCCTACAAGGAGAGCTGGCCATGCCACAGCTCCGCCTTTGGCAGTTGTTCCATTGCACACACGGGCCGAAGGCCCCATGTTGCCCGCTTCTCCAGGCTCCTAAGACACCCCAAGCATCTACTGTACTCTTAAGCCTGACCTATCTGAGAGGAGCATAAGAAAATGTGGGCAGATCCTCTGTTCTGACACAAGACTGGGGGAAATAGGTTTTGTACCCATAATTTGCCTATTATCTGCAGCATCTCCAATTCACTCTAACTTGCATCAACCTCTAGCATGAATGATTAGAAGTGATATTCACTTTCATATGTTTTTCTTCCATTACTAATTCTAACAAATGGAAATCACTGAATATTTATGTGGCATATCTCAAGTTCTCTCACAAAAGAAACCAATATGTTTAACTTAAATGACCATATGCATATCTTACAGATATTTCAACATCTGTCTCTACTTTGCAAAGGCTTAGTTTTGCAAGTTACACCAGAAAGAATGCATTTGAAAACATACGCTCATGGATATCTACAATGAAACCACATCAGAGGGACCGTTAAAATTTTGCTTAAGTAAACATTAGAAATGTGACAAATTGCTAATTTCCTATGAAGGATTGTAAAATTCTGAGAACTCTGGGTTGTGGGTGGAGGGAAGGGTAGAGAGAGGAGCAGCTCCTTAACCCCAGAAGCTGAGCCAGCTGTCTAGATTTCAAATAAAAGGGTGTCACCTGTTGGCCAAGAAGTTATCATTGGTCTTTACAGCTGTTGCTCTTGCCCAAATACTCCACTTCACGAGGCTCATATGGAGACTGCAGATCCCACCACTATGCTAATGATAAGGACAAGGCCTTTAGCCCAGAGAAGTTAGACATATTTAACCTGAATCTCCAGCATGAGATTTTGTCTTCATTGTCAGAAAACCATAGAAATGATGGAAACCACAAAATAATCAGAGGTTCCCAAAAAAGCAGTAACAATGCCAAGGAATAGTATGACACAGATATATACAACTATCTTTGAACTCTAATTGTAAATAATCCTGAACCTACCCCTTTCTTCGACTTATAGTTGTGGTTCAAAGTTCAAATCTATTCCAAATTCCTGCTTACCCATTTAATAAAACACTGACCTGTGATATATTATTCACTTTTTATGTTGTATTTTAACAGTTTTATAATTTCATAATGAGGATTGCTGCTGGTTTGGGTACTTTGAGACACGTTATTAAAATAGGAGCTATGCATTTATTAGCATATTCATTTGCTGGGTTTTTTATGGGCCATATATACTCTGTATCATAAAAAGACAATGGTTACAGTTTTTTAGAAGAGTATCAGGGCTTTTTGGAGAAAGAGCTGAGTCCAGGTCTGGGGCAGGAAATAGGGAAGTGAGCCTGAAACATCTTGTCATATCAGATAGCGAAGAAGTTATCAAAGTTCTTAGGATCGTGTCAAAAGAACTCAGGAGCCAACCTGAAGATGCTTCCTCCCACTGGCCAAAGATGCAATAAATTGCACACCAATGAGAATGAGAACTCTGAGGACATTTAAATTTATTCTTTCATGGGTACTTAGAGAAATACTTGCCTATCACTATTGTATGTTAGTGATATTATTGTGATATTGCATGATGAGAAAGTTAACTCATCATTTTGAAATCTGTTAGGTAAAGAGTAAGAAACTTTTGTGCTGTCTTTTAAAATAAAAACTGAATACCACTGGGAACCAATCAGTAAATGATGCATTTCTCCTCATTGATAGTAGTATAGCCAAAAATAAAGGAAAAAATAATAGGAATGGAGTATCATTAATTTGAAACTCTCAAGGAACTAAGGACTTAGGTTCTTGAGCATCAGTGGTTACTAACATCATAAAAAGTGGTATGGTCAGATATTATGTGCCTCCTGATGAAAGAACACACAGTCTCACTTATAAAGCAGTTGTATCGGCCAAAAAGAATACCTGAATTTTTTCAAGCTGCCGGATGTGACTACTAAATTAGAGAAAATACAGAAGATGGGGGAACATGTTAAATTGTACCATAGGTATAAAAATGGCAAAATCCAGATTGTGAACATTCTGACAACACACACCAGTACACAAAAATTGCTGGAAAGAAAAAAGAGATAAAGATGGAGTGAGAGCCTAAAGATGAAAATTGACATAAAAGATACATTAATGTGTGGGTACAATGTCTGAGCCTTATTTGGATTCTGATTTACACAGGGTCATTTATGAGGCAACAGGAAATTTGAACCCTGGATGGGATATTTGATAAGAAATTCTTAATCAGTTTTTAATATGATAATGACAATGTGGTTACATTTTTGTAAAAGAATTGCTTATCTTTTAGAGATACCCACTAAAATACTTATAGATGAAATGATATATCCTAGATTTGCTTCAAAATCCAATGGCGTAGGGAAGGCAGCGGGGAGGAGGAACAGGGAAGGCCTGGCCATGGTTTCATGGTCAATCACTCTGTCCTACCCCGGGAACGTTCCAAGTTCTCCACAATAAATAGCTAAAAACAAAACCAACCAAAGTACACAGGTGTTTCTTTGTTTATATTCTACTCTCAACATTGAACCAATTTTAAATATTCAAGGGAAGAAATTTATCAGGACAAACTTTAAAAAACTGGCATACATTCATGGCCTTCATTTAATATTTGCCAAGGTGGCCCATTTTTCTAGAGAAAAGAGAAAGTACAAAGATCTTGTTATTTTGTTTTATCTATTTATCTGCTCATTTTCACCCACATGTCATCTGCACTCATTAGGGCTACTGAATGTTGAATGAAAAGTCATACTATATAATAAAGCCTGTGTTCTTGTAGTTATGTTTAATTATGTATATCATTATTTCAATAGAATGGAAATTCACCAACATTTAAATACCAGCTGCCTATTTACTAGAGGTAACCAGGTAAAAAACAAAACCACAACTCTCTCCTGCTTCTACTGCATAAGCCAGTTTTAAATCAGTATACGAAATGATTTTTTCTTTTGAACAATCTAAAACTGTACCACATATACTAAAAATAATGTCAGTTTTCCAACATCCCTGCCTGCCCTTTACCTTATTGCATTTCCATATCTTATTGTTCCAATTTTCCAATGTTAGATTCCATTTCTCAACTTATTTGCTATATCTTATGTTAACAGACTTTTGAGGAAAACATAAGAACTTGTTACAATACAAAACCTGTTGAGTAAAGGATGTGGTGATGACACATCAAAATCCTAACTTTAAATGGCTAATACAAATTTAGTGGCTTAGTTTAATCTTTTCATGATTAAAATGCTTTTATTGTTTCCCTCTCAAGTTCTTTATGACCCATTGTTTCTTCTTTGGGTGACTGAAAATAATCCTCTTCTCGGGTCTTTATCTTTTGATACCCCGCCATCCACCTGTTTCAAACCCAGATGTAAAGGTTCAGACTCAGGGGCTCGGGGCTCCATCCGGATGGAATCAGAGCAGAATTTTCCCATGGGGCCCTAAAACCAGGGAGGCCTGCACGATATACAACTAAGAATAATTGTCCTTTAATTAAGGGGTATTTTTTCCTCTGTGATTGTTTTGCAACAATATCAAAACATTTGTAAAATGTTTATCCTCACAGACCCTGAGGTGCACTTTTGCGAGTCACTGGCCCCTTTTCAATTACTGAAATAACCAAAGAAAGAACAAACAAATCCAAACAAGTAAATGGAAAATACATTTTCCTCCTCCTCCTATTTCTCTAGTGCAGAGTATGTTCTCATTTATGATATTTATATTCAGATCCCCTTTCTTGCATAAAATTGGTAATTAAAAGAAAAACACTTACCCAGAACAAGAAGTTGAAGATAAACATAGAATATTTTAAACAGCCACTCACACCTGCCATGTCGGAAAAGGATCAGGAATCCAGATGCTGTGAGTTTAACCGTTCGTTACAGGATTGTCCTGCAATATGCTCTGGAGTAATTTGCCTGCAGAGATTTCTGTGCCCACGGCTTCAGAGCAGAAATAGAAAGCAAAGGGAGGGGGGTAATCTAGTTATTAAAGTGGATAAAAAATTAACCCAAACATTTAAATATCTCAAGGGCTATCTCTAGACGAGAATGTTCTTTTGCCTGTCACGGCTTCTGGGGCACTGGGCCAGGATATTTATGATCCTTTCTAAAAAACTGCCTCCTCTCAAGTAAACAGATATCAGGTTAAGGGAGTGGCAGTGAACCTGGGAGAGAGTGGCACAGCGATAGTGGGTTGTTAGGTTTCCGAAACCACAACCTGACTTGCCTGGCCTCTACTTCAACTATAAGGAAGGAAATAAGATGGTTTTGTTCTGAGATAAAGGGACATTGTGTCTCAAATCAGTTTTGACTTGCATTTTCTCAAGAATGCAAAACTACTTTCAGGTGAAGTAAAATGCATTTAGAAATCTGCCAAATCTGAAGGCTTAGACAGAACAACCTTTTATCATTAACCCCAGAATAGTGGTAACAACCATTACATGTACCGGCCTTCCAGAGCCTCTGAATTTAGTTCAAAATAATTTCATGGAGCTGCCTTAAATGCTGAGCAGCTGCGGGAAGTGGGGGGAGAGAGGCTGCCCTGCCTACCACAGGGCCATTCAGCTTTTATCTTTATTTCTTTACAACGTAAGAGGGAAAAAAATTATCATGAGTCACTCTCTGACTACCTTCATTGTGTTCATCTTATCGTGTATAGCCTTTTTGATAGTTCAGTTTAATTTTAAGGCGGACACTATAAAAGGGGGACTCAAAAAGAGCTGAAATTTGTTTATTAAAAATTGCATATCTAGTCTGACCTCTTTAAACTTCAGTCACCTTCAAAGTACTCTCCAATTGATGCAACACCTATTGAGATAATTTTTCCACTGCTCAAAACATAGTTTGAACTTGATGTTTTTTAGTACTTCTGCCACTTTTTGTTTTATGTCTTCCACATCAACAAAACATTTCCCTTTGAGGACTTATTTCCTCTCGGCAAACACAAAGAGTCACTCCAGGCAAGATTAGGTCAATAAGGAGGGTGGGACACAGGGGTCATGACGTTGTTGGTCCATAACTGTGGAACACTCAGTGTGGGTGGGGACCAATGTGCTGGTAAATCACCCACCACGAAGGGAGCAAATGCACAGAGAGTCTCCAAAAAAAAAAATTTAACTGAGGCCAACTCAGCCTCTCACAACAATGCCAGCAGGTACATTGATACAGATGGGTTCCTAAAACACTTACCTAGCGGGGGAAGCCTATACTACAAGAAGCCCACCTTCCTGAAGATAATTTTGGTTATTTTTGATTTCCCCCTCATACTTCCTTCCTCTGATTGGTCATGCCTAGCAAAGCTCCTCCCTCACCACCAACTCAATTTCTAGATTCCTGGTCTCTTGGACAAAAAAATTCAGAACAAGAAGGTGGTCATAGTTCAATGACCATATCTTGTACAGTTTGTTTCTATTACTAATAGAAGACAGTTGTTGCAGGTAAAAGCAAAATTCTCTGGCCTGATTAGGGAGGTGTGGACTGCTGCTGTGTGAACAGTGTGGATCGTGCTGGTCTCCACATCCTGCCTCTCAAAAGAAGAGGGGTTTTTCTCTTCGAAATAAAACAACCCTGAACTTCAAAAGATTTTTGGAAAAAGTAATTCTTTAAAATCTTTGTTAACTTCTTTATAATAAGCAAGCATGAACTTCTAAAAAGTTTGAATAGTTAAAAGAAAATTTTTCTAATTGTTACTGACATACAAAGATGCTTTTGAAATAATCCCACTACTTGACTAAAAATATGTTTTTAATGTATTAGCAGCAATAATATTTAGTATTAAGAATCAATTTAGAATTACTTCAAAACATAATTGCTTATTATTTAAGTCACTAAAATTGTGGGGGTTCTGTGCTATTTCTTCCTAGAAAATGGAAAACATTTTGAAATTTCTACTGAGATATCAGTACATATGGGATTATCCATAGCTAAAAAAAGAGAGTTTTTGACCAAATGAAAAACCAAATGGATGTATAGTGCTAAAAATTATTATTTATCAAAAGAAATATATAGATTAAAATACTGTTTTGTTGACAAGCATGTATTGAGTATCTACCAAATTTGAGCTTGGAATAGTTTTTGTGTAGATGCTGAATCTCTTTCAAAAAAGAATATAATCTTTAGTGTAGCCCTGGCTGGTTTAGCTCAGTGCATTGAGCACAGGCCTGTGGACCAAAGGGTCACCAATTTGATTCCCAGTCAGGGCACATGCCTGGGTTGCAGGCCAGGTCCCCAGTGTGGGTGATGAGAAAGGCAACCACACACTGATATTTCTCCCCCTCTCTTTCTCCTTCCATTCCCCTCTTTCTAAAAATAAATAAATAAATAAAATCTTTTTTTAAAAGGAAAAAAAGAATATAATCATTATTGAAATCCAAAACACAAAAATCAATGGACGCGTTTTTACAGGAAAAGTACTCTGTGTAACAGACTCTGCAGTCCAATTCGAATTCTACATGAAACAGTTCTCTCCTCTATATCAAAAGTTTTATAAGACACATCTGCCCAAGCTAAATACCATAGGCATTTTGCATTTCTCTTTCTTTCTTGTCTCATATCCAATCACTTCACACAATCTGTTGAGCTTCTAAATTTCCTTCAAATCCATTTCTTCCACCTCACTCTTTCACCACTGTCATTATTCAGCTTTTTATCATCTCTTACATGAACCATTTTAATAGAATCATAATTAGTATCTCTGGTCAGTCTCTTGCCCCTCCTATTTGCACTAGCTAGCACCCTGGACATTTTCTCTTCAAACTCTAGAATTTTCTCTTTTTCTTTTCCTGATTCTCTTAGTAAAATACTTACTCATCATGCAATTCCCCTGATTAAAAACCAAGCTAAAGATGCTTTCCTGTTCCCTACTGGATAAATTTCAGACTCGAGTTATACTTGAAGCACATGGCAAGCAGACCACTACTCATCATCCGGTGCTCTCTCCTGCTCCTTTCTCCCCAGGCAGCCTCCATTCCTCAGCTCCATAACCATAAAATTATTTCACAGGACTGGAATAGACCCTGGTGTTTTATGCCTCTGTGCTGCGTTGTTCCTTCTGCCTGGAATATCCTTTCACACCCTCTCTACCTGAATTATTGTAAACGCCCCTCAGTACTCAATTCAAATGGAACTTCACCTGTGGAGCCTTCCCTTTCCTCACCCACTGCCCCTACTCTGGGCAGACCTACTTGCTTCTCAATACTCATGCCTATTATAATTTGAAAGAAAAAACTTTGGTCTAAAATTGCCCTCCTTTATAACATTGATTTTCCTCTCTTCCCTGTTTGATCTTTTATGCCTGAAAGACCAAGATACTGATGTACTTATTCTGTACCCACAGCAGCTGGCATTGGAGATGAAGAGATGTGTAACTGCAGCCAAGTTTCTCAGAAAGTTCAACTAGGGATTCCTTCACAGAAATCTAGGGAAACTACCAACGTGTTACCCCCACCTTAAAAGAAAGTAAATTATCAAGTAAAGAAGAAAAGTTTCTTAATTCAGGACTTGTCAAAACTTGCTAATATTTAAGAAGGTGGCAAAGTACATAGCAATTCTAAAAAGAATGCGACCCTAGAACATATTTTTGGAAGACTTACCCCTGGACCACTATTCTAGCACTTACTCATAGAAACACTGACCTAGATGAACCCTCACATTTTATACTGAGAAAAGAAGCTCAGAGAGACTGAGTAGCCCAAGGTTACAAAACTGGTTATTGTCAGAGCTCTTTCTAGAAATGAGGTCTCATGATGACCAGATCAGCATTCTGTCCACTTGCATCAACAATTTATTGAATTATGTACTAACATTATGAGTCTGTTATTAACTTATCTTGAGAAATTGTCTTAGAAAAGATATTTAACAACAGAGATTGGGAGTATGGAGGGGTGGGAGAGGGCTGGTAATAAATCTTAGCCCAGGGAAAGACCAGACCAGGAAGGAGAGGCAGTAGAGAATGGGGTATCGCAAAAAATAACAACTGAAGGAAAGAGCAGAAGGAAAGTTTCAATAAATTTAGATAAAATTTTCCTAATGTTTCCACCATGTCAATTATTATCACTCATAGTGAATGCACAGGGTCAAGCAGGGTGAGGGTTCAAATCTAATTAATCATGAAGACTCTCCAAGAGACAGTTCTACTGAGCTCAGAGAAGAGGAAAGGACATATAAATCATCAGATACCCTATGTAAAGCCTGGCATTTTCTCTAGCTCAGCAAGCAAATCAGGCCTATGTATGGCAGAAATCAGGCATAGAGCTGTTGCTTCATATTTTCATCTTGATATCACATTTCCTTCTTCATGGCACACCCAACAATGCATCCAACAAATGTACTGAATGCCTACTATATTTAAGGTTCTATACTGTGTGCTGGAGGTACAGCAGTTTTAAAACAAGATAAAATTTTTGTCTCATGGAGGATTTTAATATGTGTGTGTGTGTATTCACACACACACACAAATATATAGGGTAACTAAATTTTGGAAACAAAAATACAACAGGGAAGATTTTGTCTCCAAAATCTAGTTACTCACTGTATTTTGCAGTGGAGTAGGTACTGAAAAAATAAATCATGTGTTTTAGAGAAAAGATTATATTCTCCGTTATTTTATGTATTTTCCCATTATTACTGCTGCCAAAACAGGATTTTTTAAGGTGCTTTGAATATTCCAGTCACTTTCTCAAAGGATGGTAACAGTAGCAAGAACAATGATGCTGAAGTTTCTCTTCCTTATGATTGTATTTAGGTCATGAGGTCATGCATTCTAAACAACGAGTGAAGGGAAAGTTCTAGTACTCTTTAGTATTTCTCATTTTGAAAAACCATTTTCTTTTTTTTTTTTTTAAAGATTTTATTTATTTATTTTTAGAGAGGGAAGGGAGGAAAAGGAAGGGAGAGAGAGAGAGAGAGAAACATCAATGTGCGGTTGCTGGGGTTTCTGGCCTGCAACCCAGGAATGTACCCTGGCTGGGAATCGAACCTGGGGCACTTTGGTTCCCAGCCCGCGCTCAATCCACTGAGCTATGTCAGCCAGGGTGAAAAACCATTTTCTTATTTTTGCAAAATTGAGGTTTCTCACTGATGGGTTTTATGACCATTTTTACAGGG